TTTCTTTCACCTCAGGCTGGTTTCTTCTCACCTAGTCCCATCAGTTACTAACAGGAACTGGAAGAAGTTGTCATGTGAGCAGATAAAAAGTGGCAAGAAAAGGGCCACAAATGGCACTTAGGGATCATTGGCTTTGGTCACAGAGTATTGGCCCATTCACAGAGAGCAAGTCCATCATTTGCCCATAGACAGGTGTATTCAGAGAAACAAACACATAAATGGTATTTTACAAACATGAATGTTCTTCCATTAAATATCTCACAGATATTTCATTATATACAGCTCATCTCACCTACCACTCATCTCTTAGTTGTAAACACCATTAATCTCTAAACAGAACCAATGCTGGGTGGGGAACAGGCAGCATGAACCTGAAAAGTACTGTTTTGCCAGATACTGATAAACTGCTCAAAATCTGATGGTGCTGTATTAAAAGGACACAGAAATCAGTGTGAAGAGGCTCCCATTGGCCAAATCAGGAACAAACTGAGCATCAGCGTTAACAATGACAATAATGAATCATAACCAATTAGATAAAATTAGACTGCATGAATCCATAATGACATAAATGAATGAATGAACTGATGAGAACAGCTCTTAACAGAATGTCAACTAACAAATTAAGAAGGGCTGATGGAATTTGAAAATCTCCATTTTTCAGTCATTAGAGTAATAACAGATTCAGGCAATAACTGGTCCTCAATGGATGCTAAAACTAATGTGTGAATGTTTGAAAAGGAAGAAAGTATTTGCATAGTCTCAAAATATGTCCCTATAATGCACCATCAACTGCAAAAGGAAGAGTGGCAATCTTTGCCATTAAAATTACTGAGGAACTTAGTTACAAAAAAAACTCTGTATTATCAAATGTCCCCAGAAGCAATTTTGGGAAGACATAAAACATACTCATTTATGAGATTTTTTTTTTTAAAGGAAGATTTGTTCTGAGAAAACAGTATTGTGTCCTGCAAAGACAGCAAAGATAAATCAGGCTATGGTCTTGGTGGTTTTTTCCTAAGTGTATTCATCTTTTCAAGGCGAGTGTTCAGGCAAGTACTCTGGGGAAAATGAGAGCTCCATGCGTGAATGATTCATTTTCTCATCATGCAAGTTTTTCTTCAATGTGTTATCTCCGGGTATCAGTTTAAAAGGAGAGTACAAAATGAGTGCTCAATTGTTGGTATTTTATAAAACCCTTCAAAGCCCTATGTTCAATTGAATAAAGATTTACAGTTTAAGTTACCTATTTTATATTATGCCATACATTTTACCATATAAAAGGGTGGAAATTTGAGGTTCATAAAACTAAGGGAGGATCTAGTTTCTACTACAGCCACCAGGTGATATGAGCCTAAAATTGGGGATCCTTAGTGAACAGGAAGAATATAATCAGGGACCAGGGTGATGGACATATGTTCATCTATGTGGTAGAAAAAGGAATGTGTTGCCAAAAGGAGGAGAACAGGAAAGCCCCTCTAGTAAGGCAGCTTCTAAAACTGCTGGACACTTCATTCTTGCGTCCAAGAAATATTTGCCAAATTCCTACACTATATGTGCCAGGCAGTGTGCTGGATGTGAGGGTTATAGCAAAACAGACACTGGGCACCTGCCTGTACAACATTCACAGTCTAATTTGCGGTGGGAGTGGATGTGGAAAAGTAAACAAGTAACAGTCCCACACTGGGTCTAGCACTTACTAGGTTATGTGCTGCGTGGTGTGAAAGTACAGAGAAGTGGCACTGAAACCCAAGAGGAAGAAAGGAGGAAGATATTCCAGAAAGAGACCCCATATTTATACATTACTACAAAGGCCAAGGCCCCAGGGCATCTGCCCTTCCTCTGATTAAACAGATCAGCAGAAATATGGTCAAGTCAAGCAAAGGCCAGTTAAGAAATAAGGGGAGTTTATATGAAAGGAAAAGTAGAAGGAAAAAAACATTTTCAATGTTGCTCCTTGTTTTCTTTATCAACCCAGATACCACAAGTAGTTGATGAAATAAAGCTGGGGGGCAGGTATAAAAAGGAGGAGACTAATATAAACACCACCACCACCAAAACTGAAAGTAACAAGTTCCTATGAGCAATGCCCTGACTAGGACAGAATCTGACCAAGGATAGATTTTCCAGATACGTTTATTCTGGTAACAAGAGTGCCCATCGAGATAAACTTTCAAGAAGGATTTTTGCAATCAAATTCAAGAATCTTGTGCAATTCAGTCTCTGTCTAGGAATGTATCCAAAATATGGGGAAAACTCAAAGAGTTGCTGCATAAGTGTGTTAAGCATTATTTGTAATTTGGAAAAATTGAAATAATTTAATATACAGTGGTAGAAAATTGTTAATTAAATATAATTTCATGATGGAATTTTGTGCCATCATGAAACTGAGTTGGAGGCAATAGATCAGAACAAATTCTTTCTGTGGGCTGTGTCTTAACTGGGGTGTACAATTTTGCAGCCAGAACTAAAGCTCCCTTGTTTTCACCTCATTACTTTCTCTCACCCTCTTTATTCCAAACCACAACCCTTCATATATATTTTTATGCTTTTCTCTTCATTTATTTTTCTTAGTAACAAACCCTAATTCCTTCCTTTTCTATTTAATTTTCATAGTAGATATATTTCAAAGCAGGTTTTCATGACTTTGAAAACAAAAAAAAATTGTGTGTATGTATGTGCAGGCACACACAACTTGTACAATCAGTGACTATGTAAAATATATAGCTAACAGGCAACTGTGATAAACCCTAGAAAAGAAGAGGACTGGAGGACAAGAAAACTGAAGTAAAAGGAGGCTTCCTTTCACCCATTATTCTTTGGTACTAATTTTAAATACTATAAACCTTGTCTTAGTCTGTTCAGCCCACTATAACAAAACCACAGACCAGGTAGCTTAAAAACAACAAGAATTTATTTCTCAAGGTTCCAGAGGCTGGGAAGTCCAAGACCAAGGGAACAGAAGATTCCATGTCTGTTGAGAGCCCACTTTCTGCCTCATAGACAGAACCTTCTTGTTTTGTTCTTTCATGGTAGAAGAGATGGGGGAGTCTCTCTCGGGCCTCTTGTATAAGGACACTAACCTCATTCATGAGAGCTCCACCCTCATGACCTAATCACCTCCCAAGGCCCCACCTCCTTTCAATATCCATCATTTCAAAATCTGAATTTGAGGGGACACATGTATTCAGCCTATAGCAAATATATTATCTAGTCAATATACAAATAAACATATCTTGTAAATAGAACGTAGAAATAATCTGATAGCACATGATCGTTTTCATATAAGCAAGCATAGGCCTAGAAAACTGAAGCAGTTTTCCCAAGGTCACTTAATAAATTAGTACAAGTGCTGATATTAGAAGGAAAAGGATCTGGCAGAGATAGAAAAAATATTACCGAGAATCTGGCATTTAATTCTCTTAATACTTCTGAGAAAAATGTTTTTGAAGATGAAGAAATTGATGCTCAGAGACATCAGGGCATGCTTAAAGGTCACACAGTTGTGGGGGAGAAGCTCAGGTTCGAATTTGATTCTACCCTTCAACTCTCTGAGCTCGCCTTTTTGAGTCTTTCTGATGCTCTGCCCCTCTCAATCCAGAATTCAGTCAGCTAAATTCTGTGTTGTTTATCTAGTCCTTGCTGTCCAAGATACAATCCTCTCATTCTGTTAAATTCCCCCTTGTTAATCTGCATTATCCCAAAGGGCAACACTATACATCCATCCAAACTTTACTTTTTCTAAATAGAAGAGAAGAGAATCTTCCTAAACAGAGATTCATAAGTCAACACACTTTTGCAGCACTTAATATAATGTTATTTCACAAGGAAATCTACTATTTATAATTTTTTAATTGTACTTTATGTTCGGGTACAAGTGCAGATCATGCAGGATTGTTGTACATATACAGCAAGGTGGTTTGCTGCCTTCATCCCCCCATCACCTATATCTGGTATTTCTCCCCTCATTATCCCTCCCTACTCTCCCCATCCCCACTGCCCCTCCCCTAGCCCCCCCACCACTGACCGCAGTGTGTGATGCTCCCCTCCCTGTGTCCATATGTTCTAATTGTTCAACACCCACCTATGAGTGACAACATACAGTGTTTTGTTTTCTGTTCTTGTGTCAGTTAGCTGAGAATGATGGCTTCCAGATTCACCCATGTCCCTATGAAGGACAGGAACTCATAGTTTTTTATGGCTGCATAGTATTCCATCGTGTATATATGCCACATTTTCTTTATCTAGTCTATCAATGATGGACATTTGGGTTGGTTCCAGGTCTATGCTATTGTAATCAGTGCCGCAATGAACATGTGTCTTTATAATAGAATACATGTGCATGTGTCTTTATAATAGAATAATAATCTTTTTAAACTGAAAAGCAACTCTACCCTCCTTTACACAGTACCGTTAGGCTGTGGACTTACAAACCTGAGCCACATCATTTCTTCCGTTTACTGGAAGATGCAGCATTCAGTGTTTCTGCAAAAATCATGATCCACATGAATACAGAAATGGAAAACACAATTGGGAAACTATTTGCATTGGTTTAAGCAAAAGTGATTGGGAGAAACCACAAAAGGATGGACAGGCTCTCTTGTTTAGCAGCAGCAGGGAGACATTATCACTCCTTGGCATGAAGAGATGAGGGAGGGAGTAGTTATTATAATCCAGTAAGAAATGGGGCATTCAGTTACTGCCACTGTAGTGCAGCTTGGGAGGAAGTCAGGGAAATACATATCATAATATCACACTCTTCCTACCCTCTGATTTCCTCAGCTGTGTTCCTGTTAGCCTAATCCAGCTGAAACCAGAGGGCAAGAGGATGATTAGGGAATACCTCCCAGGATTCAGAGTGAGGCTCCAAGGGGCAGAAAGTTGATCTGTAAAAGCATTATACCCCACTGTCCCGACCCGCGGGACGAGCAACGCAGACCCTAGGGAGGGAGTGGGGATTAAGAGAGAGACAGGAGACGCGAAGAATGGAGACAAGTCAAAGATCTGATCAAGTCTCGTTTATTAGGCACAAAGCAGCTGCTTATAAGCAAGCAAAGAGTTCTGAGTTCTGAGGTCAGAAAGTAATCATGGAGACGAGGCTGCCGGCTGGCCTCGTGACTAAGAAGAACGTGAAACTTAGATAAGAGAAGCAGAAGCTTGAGCAACAAGATCACAAGACGGCTATCATGACGCTCAAAATGGCCACTGCTCCCTACACCCCACATGGTTTCTGTCCCATGCAGCATTATACCATTCAGTGGTCATTCCCTCCACTGACTGATGGTTGTATGGGTCTAACCTGACTACTGACTTGTAACACATGGTTCTCTGTGGTTCTGAAATGTTCTCCAGATCCTAACTGACCACCCCAGGCTGTGGACTTCTCCATCTTGATTTTTTTTTTTTTTTTTTTTTTTTTGAGATGGAGTCTCACTCCGTTGCCCAGGCTGGAGTGCAGTGGCATAATCTTGGCTGGCTGCAACCTCCACCTCCTGGGTTCAAGTGATTCTTCTCCCTCAGTCTCCTGAGTAGATGGGATTAAAGGCATGAGCCACTGTACCTGGTCCCCACCTTGAATTTTGAAAACAGGGCAGTGATTGCATGTGATTGCATGTGAAATAATTCCCAAATTCTGTTCTTCATAACTCTGACATTTTCTGTAAGTTCTTCCACCCAGCATCAGCAAAACCCTTCAAGTCCAGGTCCCGGAAGCTCCACCCCACTGTCTTAAAAGGTACCATGCATGCTGCTCCCTGGGTCCTAACACACTTCCCCTGCACTTTCTGCAAAATGCTTCAAGAATTTCCCTGGCTGTTTGGCAAGGCCATATCAACAAAAAATTCTACAAACTTCCTACTTACTTGCAAAAATGCGACATTTAAAATTCGCCTTTGAAAAATTGCATGTAATTTCTGAGGACAGAATCTGATTTTAACATCCTAGTCCAGCTCACATTTGAAGTGAAATCTTCCAGAGCCTGAGGGAGGAAGAAAGTGAGCCATAATGAAAGGCAGCCAGTACAGAAAACAAAGAGCCTGAATTTTAGTCTCAGTTCCACTGCTGAGGAGCTGAGCGACCTCGGGGAAGGTATATATGCCAGAGTCTATCCTCAGAAATAGGGAGGAACTGAGTGAAATGAGTTTCAAGACTTACTATGTGAGTATTCGAAGCTCTTAAGAATATTTGTAAATTAAAGAATCCTCAGGGCCGGGCGTGGTAGCTCACGCCTATAATCCCAGTACTTTGGGAGACCGAGGCGGGTGGATCATGAGGTCAAGAGATCGAGACCATCCTGGTCAACATGGTGAAACCCTGCCTCTACCAAAAATACAAAAATTAGCTGGGCATGGTGGCACGCACCTGTAATCCCAGCTACTCGGGAGGCTGAGGCAGGAGAATTGCTTGAACCCAGAAGGCGGAGGTTGTGGTGAGCTGAGATTGTGCCATTGCACTACAGCCTGGGTAACAAGAGTGAAACTCCATCTCAAAAAAAAAACCCTCAAAATGGGGATGATGAATTTGTTTGAGGAAATATTATATTTCTTCCAGGTAACTAATCACTATGAGAGAAACAATGTTTTTTTCCTGAGCATTGCTTTTTTCTCAGGAGAATGAATATGTGTTCAAGGTTTTCTTTAGAGCAACTTTGACATCCTTATTCCTCAGGCTATAAATTAATGGATTGAGCATGGGCACCACAGTGGTATAGAACAGGGAAGACACTTTGCCCTGATTCATAGGTAAAATAGATGAGGGCTTGAGATACATGAATGCCCCTGACCCAAAGAACAGAGAAACTGCAATTATGTGGGAGCTGCAGGTGCTGAAGGCTTTGGACTTGCCCTCCATGGAATGAATATGGAGGATGCTGGAGAGAATGAGAGAATAGGAAATGAAGATGGTGACTGTGGGCATGCCAATATCAATGCCCACAACAACAAACACTACCAGCTGGTTCACATAGGTGCTGCTGCAAGCGTGCTCAAGAAGGGGAAGGATGTCACACATGTAGTGGTTGACAACATTATTGGCACAGAAGGTCACACCCATCATGCATGCTGTGTGGGCTGTAGCCCCAGCAAACCCCATCCCATAGACACCCAACAAAAGGAGTAAACATGCCTGGGGAGACATGGTGACCCTGTACAGCAGTGGGTTACAAATGGCCACGTAGCGGTCATACGCCATCACTGTCAGGATGAAGGACTCAGAGACAACAAAGAAAAGAAAGAAGAAGAGCTGAGTCATACACCCAGCGTAGGAGATGCTGTTCTTCTTTGAGACAAAACTCATCAGCATTTTGGGAGTGATAACACTGGAATAGCAGAAGTCTATGAAGGACAAGTTATAGAGGAAGAAGTACATAGGGGTGTGCAGGTGAGAGTTGAGCCCAATCAGGGTTATCAAGCCCAGGTTCCCCACCACAGTGACCACGTAGAAACCTAGAAACAGGAAGAAGAGGGGGATCTGGAATCCCGGCTGGTTGGTTAAGCCTGTGAGGATAAACTCTGTCACGGAGGAGTTCTCAGCAGCCATTCTCATCTAAGGCATTCTGTGGGGACAAGGGAAAAAGTTGTTTAGAAAGAGAGAGGAGAGACCACTGCTGCCCTCCCAGTCGCCCTCCCTTCCTTCTTGAGAATAGGAGGCACACAGAGAGGTTTTGAACTTCAGCAGAGAGGGCTTTGCTGCACTCCCTCTGGAACATGCCCCACCTCCATGCCCAGGGCTGCTGGGAAGGACTCCGTCTTTACTGTGATCCCTTTGTTGGATCTTTCCAACTCCAGTTTCTACTCAAGTTTAGAGAAACTGAAGCCCATCTCAAGGAAGTGTCCTTACAGAGGTTGGACCCAGCCCACCTGTGCCTGGATAATCCACTTCATGGTCATCCTAGACAGAGCAGAAGGGCGGGGTCTTTTCCAGAGCTTTGCTATCTGAGACTGGGGACTCAGGAAAAGTTCGGACTGCTCATCCAGATTCAGCCACTCATCCTCTTCAGCCCAGAGCTTCAGTGATGTACCTTTTGGTCCAGCTCTTATCTTCACTTGTTCAGACAGATTGGCTGCGGAGCTATCACAGATGAAAGACTAAGCATCATCCCGCTACGCCCTATCCTGATGGCAGCACTGGAGCCTCAGCTGCCTCAGAACCCTTTCTGAGCTACAGAACATGGCATCAAATGGAGGCTGAGCCCTCAGGCCTTTCTCTGTCTTGCAGAAGGGAGACAGTATCCTTACCATTACCAGTGACAGCTGATGACAGGAGACTGAGCAGTTTTATTCTGAGTCTGGATATCTGGGGACCTGATTAGAAGTAGAACACCAGTTCCCCTGGGATCACAGCCCTAGATATTAACTTTAAAAAATAACAAAGTTGTGCCTATAGCCTTAATAATGTTTGAATGGGCTTTTAGAAACATGAAAATATTTGTTCAATTAACATCTACTTGGAAATATACAAAGCATTGTGCAAAAACAGTAATTTACCATTTATTGAGCACTTAATGTATATATAGCCAACGCTTTTTCTGTCTTCGCATTATACACTGACCTCAGCATGCCAAGATCCAATGCCATTATTCATGTAATGCTTCATTTTAATTCTACCCCAAATTCTATGAGCTGGGTTTTATCACCCTCATTTTAAAGATGAAATAACTCCCTAAATGTTAAATTACAAAGGCCATATTAAAACTAGGTCCATCTTACCCTAGATTTTGTGTTCTTAACAACTAGTTGAATACCTCCCTGTGGAAGATAATGATGTATGTAAAGCACAGTTCTTGCCTTCAAGGCTCTGACCATGTCTTGAAAAAGATGCTGGAACACACATAACTAAGCAAAAGAATGTCATAAGATCCAGAAAAGGCCAAAACAAAATGCTATGCCAGTTTGATGGAGAGCATTCAACCTACCACTTATATTTCAGTTCGTTGCTGAGCTGCACAGTAGCCAGTCCAGAAGAGAAAGCAATCTGTTTTTTCTTGGAATTCGAGGTTGACAGTAAAAATCAATCTCCATGGGTTAAGAAGAGTTTTTTTCCAAAACTGCTAACTTCTTGAGATTCCCCTGGATGGCCCCTGTCCTCCATCCTTGCTCTTTCCAGTCTTATTTTCCGCTTTCTTAAAGTTCCCATCCCCTCATTGTGAGCTGAAGGCCTTGTAGTTTGATTCTCCTTCTTCCCATGGGATATTTGCTTCTTGGTTTTGTTTGCTTTACTCTTTCCGTAACTCCCCTCTCTCATGACAAAAGTCATCCCTCTTGTGTCCCAGCCTCTCAGAGCCTTGCGTGAGCTCAGTGACAGCTAATCATCATTCTTGCAGCCCCATAAAGGTGAATCAATATTTAAAAATCATCTAACCCTGTGGTTCACACATCTACCTGTACAACTGAATAACTATATGCTTATTAAAAGTACAAATCCTGCTGCCCCAAGCCTGACAGCATAAATTAGAATCTCCAGGGGTGGTGTTTTATAACTTGCATTTCTCACCCTATTGATCTGGATATTTACACAGATTTGGAATTCACTGACCTAATCCTCTACCCTGTGTTTTCTAGACAGAAAAATTGAAGTCCACCAGTCAGAATTTGTTGGTGGTGGAGTCCAGAATAAAACTTGGGTCTCCAATCTCTCCAATTACACTGTCCGGAAGAAGTTCACCCATTCATTTGGCTAGAATGCAGAGTACAGGAAGGGACATAGCTGGGTATCAGCCCTGGAATAGCCTCCCAGGTTCCTTCTGTAGAGAGACTTGAATGTCATGACGGGAATTATGTATGCAATGTGATTCCATGGAATATATTGAATAAGGAAGCAACATGGGCAGAGTTGTGCAGAAGGAGACCAATTAGTCTATTGGGCTATTGGGTGTTGATGACTTGATGCCAGGATTCCACCAAGCACCACGTTTAAGTTGTAGTTAAGACACAATGCCTTAGCTCAAAGCACCAACAATGAGATACAGAATGAATTTTCAGAACAAGTAACATGTAAATGGAGCAAAAGTTCTTTCTAAGCTTTTTAGCACATTACAAATCACATAAGGCTGGCCCTGCCTTCCAGCTGTGTTGTCCTTTGCCTGCTATCCTGAATATTTTCACCAGGTCTGAGTTCAGGTCCCATCACAAAGCACTCTATGTTGCACGTTTTATGCCTCATTTTTTATTACTCAGCCTATCCTTTGGGCTTCTGCTGTTGCTATGGCAGTGAACTGCATCCAGCTATAGCACAATAACAATATTTCCTGACTACACTATGTGTCCATCCCCTCCTTTTCTGTCCTAGGACATTTCTGTCCTAGGATTCTCAGACAAAGTGGAATGTCTGAGAATCCATTCAGCCATTCTGGTGCATGTGCAGACCTGTAAGTGTGAAGGAGTTAATACCCCTGGGAGCCAGTGGGTAAATGTCTCCCTTTTCTTTATCTCCAGTGGTTCATTCTTCTTAGTACATCAAAAGATCTCAGAGGAACTAATTCTAAATTTCCCATTAAGGTAACATATAACAGAAGCTTTTATTGGTTTTCTATACTTCCCTGTTTTTCTCTTTCTCTTCCCTAGGATTACATCTAAAAATAAGCTATCTGCACGCATGGCCTTGTCCCCAGCACAGCTTTTTGTGGAAATCCCAGCTAAGGTACTCCTAAAACAGTATTTGGAGCAGGTTTAAACAAAATGTTCCTTGCTCCACCCAGGAGGAAGCATCTTCACCCAATCTCTTTGATTCCAGGATAAGAAACTAAATATGAACCGCTAAATTCACCAAGGACCTGAAATTACTCTGTGCCATGTTACAGACAATTTTTATGTCTTGAGCATGACCTATCAAAATGCCAGAAAGAGTAATTTCAAATAATTATTAGCTCACACCCTAATACGGATTAGCCACAACAAAGCCTATGGCACTTTGTTCTTAGATCTCCTGCAGCTCTACTCACATGTGCTACTGTCCTATCCCCCAGTGAACTATAATAACGCTAGCAACATTGTCATTGTATTCACTTTTATATCTTTAAATCATATAGCTCACAAGATGTTCGTTAATCTCTAATTCTCAGTGTTCTCATCTATAAATCGTGGATGATGGTGATAATTCAGTGTTGGTGTGAGGGTTAAATTAAATCATGAAAGCGGAAGAGCCAACCAGAGAGGTTGACAAATGAAAGAGCCCTGAAAATGCTGTAGAAAATAAATGTAAAACAAATATAAAATGTATATATTTTAGGCATGGCACGAGGGAGGGAAAAATCTTGTTTAAAGCTAGACAAGCCTGAAAGAGACAATAGAGAGTCTACCAAAGGGCAGAGGAAGAGAGCTGACAAGAGTGAGAGGAACTTTGCAACGACACACTTTTCAAACTTTAAGGTCCATCTCTCCAACATAACCCAATCCACAGACAACATCAGGTCCTTGAGTATTTTGCCCTGTCCCTATTTCCTGTCCTACCTATTTTTCAATATCCACATTCTACCACAAAAGCCAAACTCCAGAATCAGGTAAGGGTTTCTTTACGGCCTCCCATTCTCTCTTCCTATACCCATCTCAAGTCTCCTAGTCTTAGCAAAAGTTCCTTTTCCCCAACATTCACAATTTTAATGCTGACTTTCCTTTAATTCTATGTCAAAACTAAGTTTTCAGGAGGAATCTCACAAATTCATCACCACACAGTCTACCAAAACTTGTTGGGGACAATCCACATTCTTCACCCTCTTCCAGGAATTTTTTAAAATGAAGTCTGTAGCCAAAAAAATAGATCTAGCTATGAAATTTCAAACAGCACTCAGTTAATGAGAGGTGACTTTTAGTCAGAATAAGGCAGCTGAAGTCCTCATGTGGTGGCTTCAGAATTAGAGCCCCCTTGGCAGCTGCCTGACATCCACATGGCAAGCTAATTACTACTCTTCTCTCAGTCCTGTGTGTGTAGGGTGTGTGTGTGTGTGTGTGTGTGTGTGTGTGTGTCTGCATGTGTGTTTTGTGTATAAGTCTTTGGTGACATTTGAACATACCTCTTCTGCCGCATGTGGAATATATTTTAGTCACTGCTCAGAAACGAGAGGGCTCGAGTGTAACTTTTATACGTAGAAATTTGCCACGCCCTCAGTGATTATGAGGACCTGCAATCCTTGCTGTCATTCCCACTGTAGTCAACTCACAATTAAGAAAACAAGTCATCATTACAAGCGTGAAATGAGCCCCACAGGAAAGGTACTCCTTAGGGCACAGAAAGCAAAGACACCGGCTTCATTAAAAGTTGACTTTTCTCCGGGAGCCTTAGAGGATTCTTGTTTGGATGATAGAACAACCAAGAAAAGTTCTTCGGAATTTATGACATTTTAAAGCCTGTTGCCATGGAAACTACGCTTCAAAATCCTCTCAACTGGGGCTTTACTAAAGTCTTGTTCCCTGAGGAGCAGATGAAGCCCAAGCAGGAAGCAGTGTAGGAAGAACTATTCTTAACTCTGTTCCTTTTGTTGCAGAACTGCCCTCTTTCCAAAACTTGAATTTCTGTATAGTGCTTCTTTGTTTTTATTTCTATCTTTTCCTATCTTTTTAAAATTACATTATAATTTGTGTGATTTCGTATGTGATACATGAATATGAGTCAATACAATGTCTCTCACACACATGCATTAACCCTCAGACTTCTGGTGGCACAAGGTTGGACCCAACTACAGCAACCATCACAACATGCCAAGAAGCCCAAGTACAAGTTTCATAAGAAGTTATGGAACATGACCAGGGAAAAAAGGTGGCAACCGAAAGGTCTTCATTTGAAATGACCTTCATTCACCCCTGAGAAAGCACTATCAGCAATAATCTGTTCCTGCGTTATACTTGATCTCACTTTACTTTTATTATCTTCAACTCATCGACATACAAACCTATGCATAAATTATATATGTATTTAATATAGAATTCTAGAGTTAGATGGGACCTTGGAGGTCTATGTTGGGGAATAACTGCCATGTATAAACATATATGTCCCAACCATTTTGCAGGAAGTTTTATGTACATTACGTCATTTGTAGAAAATGAATAATATGCACAAAGTGAAAAGCTGACATTTTTTAAACATCATCCAATGATATTTTAGTATCATTAGTATTAAGAATACTAATATTACTACTAATATGTTATAGGTTGTGAGTGCTAACCATGTGCTAGGAACTAGGCTAAATGTTTTACACATATAAGTAGTTTTCACAAAAGTTACATTAAATGAGTACTTTTATTATCTATCCTACTCTGTACAAGAACGTTTCGTTGAATCAGAAATCAAACCTGTTTATTTGTTAGTTGTGACAGTCTTGTTTTTTTAGGCCTCAAGTAATTGTAGTGATAGAGGATTGTTAGGATTTCCTAGATTGATGGTTATAAAGGAAAAACTGAGAGGGAAGGCCAAGTGTCAAAGGTTACCAAAGTCTCAACCCCAGAACCCTGAAGTAAGGAAGTAAAGAGAGAAATAAAGAGAGAGAATTTAGACCTGACTTTCATGTCCTGAAAGTACACGTAAGAGCAAATGGTCAGTAATAAGTCATCAGTCTGAGATCAGAGCTAAGAAAAATATATCAAGACGCATATTGAGAAATCATGTAAATAAAAGTGATTGCAGAAACTACAGATCAAGGGTAAAGAATGGAACCATATAATTATCAATGATCAGTAAAAGGGAAGGAGAAAACTTTTAGTAAATTTGTCAAAGAAGGCAAATATGGTACCCTGAGCAGGCTTTGTAGCAAAATGACCTGGAAATCTCATTACATCTCCCACTAGCCAAGTAAGCTTATACTATTTGAACTTCAGTAACTCCATCTGAAATCAGATATATTAGCACCTAGCATATAAGATTGTGTGATGATCAACTATCAGTGTTTAATAAGTAGCTTAGAATTAATGAAGTGTTTTAGATTTACTGAAGTTTTATTCCTACTCATCTTTTTTATCTGCTTAGTCTAGTTTATCCTAATTTAGGAGTTATTTACCCCAGCCACAACTAAGGTATAAGCTACTAAAGTCAAGATTCTATGTTCAGAGCTGGGAATGGTGGCTTATTCCTGTGACTTCAGCAACTCAGGAGGCTGAGGCATGAAGATCACTTGAGGCTAGGAGTTTGAGACCAGCCTGGGGAAAATTGAGAGACTTAGTGTCTTAAATGTAAATAAATAAATAAATAGCAGATGTGATGCCACACACCTGTAGTTCCAACTACTTTGAAGGCTAAGGCAGGAGGATCTCTTGAGCCCAGGTGTTGAAGGCTGTCATGAGCTACGATTAAACCATTGCACTCCAACCAGGGTGACAAAGCAAGACCCTGTCTTTAGAGGAAAAAAAATCGTATGTAGCTTAAAACTCTAGTTGGAGCAAGATAGCTGATTAGAGACACCTGACTGTCGTCTCTCCCACAAGGAAAGACCAAGACAATGAATAGATATCTAAGACTAGACTGGAATGTCAATGTGAGAGCACCAGGGTGTAGCCAGGAAATGAAGATGTATCTGTGATGATGGAAAATCCAGGAAGGCAGACTCTGCTTCCATATCTCCCCAATCCAATTCAGATTGGCCCAGAAACAGGAGGGACTTCTCATTACAGGGAAAATACATGCCCCCAGGCCATCAAAGTAGCTGTGTACCCATGTACTGTAACTGAGAAACAGCCCCGTGAATCAACGATATGCCAGCCAAGCAGCCTTGTGCCCACACCACAGGCCTGAGAAGCTGTCTCATGAGCTGCCCCTGGTAGTCACACACCCAGGCTGAAGGAGCAGCTGCACACCCATGTCCTAAGCTGGAGGAAGAGCCCTGTGGGCCACCCCCAGCAAACACACACACACCACAGCTGAGAAGCCATGTGACTGTGTCTGGTGCCTGAGAAGCACCCCTGTGGACTGCCTGTGGCGGACATATCACCAAGCTGGCCAAGCAACCACATTCCCACACACCCATCAAGAGTAACAGCCCCATGGCCTCAACTGCAGCAAGGTAGACCCTAAGTTAGTTGTCCCATCAAATGCATGCACATGTCCCCAACCTAAGAAACAGCCCAGCAAGCCCACCCCTGGCAAAGTTGAACCATCATTGCCATAAACTCTCTCAGCCTAGCCTACCAAGAAACTCACAAATGCCACTAGTGTGGATTACAGCTGAAGAAACTACACAGAGACTATACTATTGGGTTTACCTAGAACTAAGGCCAACACATTCCACCAAGCCAACACCCCAAGACTCATTTATAAGAAACTATACAGAGACTACACTATTGGGTTTACCTAGAACCAAGGCCAACACATTCCACTGAGCCAACACCCCAAGACTCACTTACACAAATAAGACTTTTCCTAAGAAACCTACTACATAAAATTGGAAAAGGTGACTTTTCCACCAGGTGTGTAGAAATCAACATAGGGACATATTAACAATGAAAAAGCAAGAAAACACATCATCACCAAAAGAAGATAAGAATTCTCTAGTTATAGACCCTAATCATAATCTATAAAATGCCAGAAAAAGGATTTAAAATAATTTTCCTAAGGAAACTCAGTGAGATATAAGAGAATGCATCTAGACAATCCAACAATTCTGGGAAAACAATTCATGATTTAAATCAGAAATTCAACAGAGAGACAGATATAAAAAAAATAGAAAACCTAGAGATCAAAAATTGATGAAAAAAATAAAAAATACAATTAAGACATTTGACCACAGACTAGGCCAAGCAGGAAAAAGAATTTCTGAACTTAAAGACAAGTATTTTGAAGTATCACCGGCAAACAAACAAAAAAAAAGAATTAATTGCTTCTTGGCCTCTTGGCTAAGATCAAGTGAAAAAAAAAAAGAATCAACGAATTTATGTAACATCATTAACCTAATAAATGTCCATACTATGGGTATTCCAGAAGGAGAAGAGAAGGAAAAAGATGAGGAAATCAGATTTGATAAAATAATATCAGAAAGCCTCCCCAGTCTTGACAGATAAATGGACATCCAGGTCCAGAAATCTCAAAGAACCCCAGATACCTTCAATCCAAACAGGTCTTCTCTCAATCACATTATAGTCAAATTGTCAGAAGTCAAAGACAAAGAAATAATTTTAAAAGCAACAAGATAAAAGTATCAAGTTACATATAAGAAAATCACCATAGGACTAACTGTGAATTTCTCACCAGAAACTTTATGATAGAGCCAACAGAGAATGGGATAGAATATACAAAGTACTGAAGGAAATAAAACTTGGCACCCAAGAATATTATACCCAGAAATAAAATATTTCACAGACAAGCAAAAACTAAAAGAATTCATCATTACTAGACCAGCCTTGTAAGAAATGCTCTAGGGAATCTTACATCTGGAAGCAAAAAGATGATAACCACCATCATAAAAACAGCCTAAAACTATAGAGCTGATACAGCAAGGAATGATCAAATGTTATCAATACAGAAAGCCACTCAACTGCAAAAATAAATAAGAGAAGAAGTAAAGAACAAACAATACATTAAAAAATGGAAAATAATCAATACAATGACAAGAATAAGTCTTCATCTATCAACAATAACCTTGAAAATAAATGGATTAAATTGCCCCATTTAAAAGATATAGACTGAACAATAATTATTTTCCATTGGAATCCCACATTTTCAGTAATTTATTACAAACTGACCATGCTAAAAGATTTGTAAATCCTTCTACATAGGCAATCAATGCATGCACATGCTTTTCTTTATAAAGATAAAAGCCATTTAATCCACCTTATAATTTAGTTTAATTTTGTTTTAAATGTTTGAACTTGATGGCCTACCTATATCTCTTTTACATATTTTATATATTGTTATAATTGACAATTAATATAAAGTCTCTTTCACTTAGGAATAAGATCTCCTTGGTTTTTTTTTTATTATTGTACTTTAAGTTCCTGGGTACATGTGCAGATCTTGCAGGATTGTTGCATAGGTACACACATGTCATGGTGGTTTGCTGTCTCCATCCCCCGTCACCCACATCAGGCATTTCTCCCAATGTTATCCCTCCCCAACCTCCCTTCCCCAAGCTGTCCCTCTCCTAGCCCCCCACCCCCAGACATACCCCAGTGTGTAATGTTCTTCTCCCTGTGCCCATGTGTTCTCATTGTTCAATACCTGCCTATGAGTGAGAACATGCCATGTTTGTCTTCCTGTTCTTGTGTCAGTTTGCTAAGAATGATGATTTCCAGATTC